ATTTCTTCTTTTTATTATTTTTTTTCTATATTTTTTTCTGATTGAAGATGCTTAGTTTCAAATCAAAACCTCTTTTTTTCTTTTTTTTTTTTTTTTCTTTTTAAAAAAAAAGATTTTCGAAATTTTTTAAAAAATTATTTATTAAAAATATTCTGATCGGTAAATATATCTTTTATTGTTATTTAAAATGTTTCCTCTTTTTTTTTTTTTTTTTTTTGCAGTGTTATTTTCACGTGTTATCAAAATGTGTATTTTATAAATTTATCAGAATCTTGTTATAAAACTGCTGTTGGAAATGTGGTCTGTTTTCCCTATTTTAATAAAATATCCCTTCGAAGTGCATGTAAAATCCGTTGTATCCAAGAAGCTTAAATAGTTAACGATACATTTATATGTATATATATATATTTCCGCTTTCTTGTTTCTTAATAGTTTTCCTGTTTTTATATAGATATATAGAAATATACGCAATAATAATCCAAGTGGTAAAGCCAATAAAACTACAAGTGAAATCCAAGGCGATAAAACGCTTATTTTTTCCTCTTTCTTTTTCTTATTTTTTTCTCTTTTTCTTTCTCTTTTCTTTCTTTTTATTTCTCTTTTTTTCTTCTTCTGTCTCTCTTTCTTTCCTTTTTTTTTTTTTTTTTTTTTTTTTTTGTTATTGGATGTTAAATTTTAGTTGTTTGCTAAGGATTTTCATTATTAAATCATTCGTCTTTTTCCCTCAATTTCATTTTCTGCCGCTACACTTATATACGTACTTTTGCAATCATTCTCTTCTTCGCTGACAGATAGATAGATAAATTAAACTTTAGAATTTCTATTCAGTTCATTCATGTCAACAATGGCCCCAAAACGCTTTTATTTTTCGTCCAACTGCTTACAAGCCGTCAGTTCGTTCGCATGTGCGTGTGTCTGTCTGTCTGTCAATAGACGATGAGCCTGTGTGATTCTGGGTGTAATTCTCACACGAAAAGAAAAAAAAAAACGCCACTTTCAGGAAAATGCTTTTCTACACCCCTCTCTTTCTCTCTCACTCACTCATTCTCTCTCTCTCTCTCTCTCTCTCTCTCTTACACACACACACACTCTCTATATATCTATCTCTCTGTGTCTAGTAGAAGAGGACTTGTTACCATATAGCCAGGCCGCTGCACAAAGAAAACATTCGACGTACTAAGCGTATGTTGCTGTTGTTAATAGTAATAGAAGTAGTAATCGTTTAGTGAGTAAAGCGATGTTTTTCTGCTTTTCTTTTTTTCCTTTTCTTTTTTCTTTTTCTTTTTTCTTTTTCTTTTTGCTTCCTTTTCTGTTTTTTTTTTTTTGTTTTTCATTTACTTTTTTGTGAAAAAGGGGCCTTCTTATTCTTTTTATTTTTTTTTATTTTTTTTTTATATATTTTATTTTACTTTTGGTAGGAAGGACCTCATCCTTCATTATATTTTTCTATTTGTGCGTGTGTGTTTGTTTAGTTGTTTGTGTGTGTGCACGCGCACGCGTTTGTGTGTGTGTGTGTGTGTGCGCGCGAGCGCGCGCGCGTGTGTGTGTGTGTGTAAGCCATTTTTGGAACGGCTCTTCTTGTGAGTGAGGGTGCGATCAAGAAAAAATGCAAACTGCCAGATACTAGTGACAGTTATGTAATGCATAATTCTCCATACTCATAAATTACCTTGGATATCAACCCAAATAATAATAATAATAATAATAATAATTCACCGACCCCCGAATTGAGTTTGTCAGAATGTGGGACGTCCAGGACAGTATGGCCCCAGTTATCATTGAGGAACGCATTGGGGTCTATACAATCGAAAAAGTCCTACATTGAGAAAATCGGAAAAAGCTGAGTATCCCATCGCTTCAGAAGTCTGCGTCGCTTGATACTGCAAATATTCTGCAGAAGGTTCTATCTGTTGTACGACTTGATGGAGAACGCCCATAATGCAAGATCTCCAGTTGAAAACGAAAATCCATACAAAGCATGATAATAATAATAATAATGATGATGATAATAATAATAATAATAATAATAATAACAATAATAATAATCTTTGCAGATCTTCAAACTTCAAAACTATAAAAAAAAAAACAAGGACCTTGAAATCAAAATCTAAAAATTTGGCACATGAGAACATCAACAATCTCTTGTAGTTGAAGCCCTCGAACTGATTGGAAAAAGATTCCAATAGACTCATACGAATTCCTGGTAGTCCATGCTTTAAAGAAATACAAAAAATTGTACTCACAGTTACGACCCAGACCTTACGAAGGGCTTTATCTATGTAAAATATGTGTGATTTTTTTTTTTCAAAATTGCTCAGTGGAAAATACCATGACATTTCTGACCTTAGGTCTCTGGTTGGGACCCGGAAAGAAATGAGTATATACCATAAATCAAAGGAAATGAAATAAGAATGATAATAATAATTTTCCACGTTTCCCGTGGATCTTTCCGTAACTGTTGAATTCCCCTTTTAATCTAAGCATAAAATGTCTTTGCTGATGTATAAATATATATATATATATATGTGTGTGTGTGTGTATGTGTGTGTGTATGTGTGTGTGAAAAAGTGTGTATATAAATATAAACATATATATATATATATATATATATATATATATATATATGTAATATATATATATATATATATTATATATGTTATTTTTTATATATATTATATGCGCGATATTTATTAGAAAGCGCTCAATATCAGAGATAGAGCTAACATATTTGGTTGGATTGATGTGAGTTTGTGACCCTGGGTTTCACGCTTTTGCGATCGTCAGTCAAACTCTGACGATCGCAAAAGCGTGAAACCCAGGTTCACAAACACACATCAATCCAACCAGATAGGTATGCAGAAAATAGAAAAGAACACGTTGGGTGCATAATCCGGGGTTCCTTAGTATTTTTGTTTTATTTTTAAGAAGACAGTCCTCCAAACAGGAGTAGAACTTTATTATAATAATATTTTTTGTTTAAAAATATGATTCTTTCGCTACATAAGAGTTCTCATGTTTCAAAAACGAGAGCCGAATTATTTGGATGATTTCGGCTCTCGTTTTAAACCAAAAATATTATATATATATATATATATGTGTGTGTGTGTGTTTGTGTGTGTGTGTGTGGCAACAATGTCATTCTACAGTTTCTTATAATAAAAAAGCAAAGCATTGAAGCAGGTGGCTTGCAGTTCGAACGGTATCGGCAATTAATTTACTATTGTTTACCATAGCATTTTATTGTTATTAACCAGAATTATCCAGAACCATTTTAATAATAAATTTCTGGGCTGTTGAATAATTGCTTTTTTCTAAATTGTTATTGTAAGTAATTGTATAGTGACTTTATTGCCACCCTATATATGTATGTATATATATATATATTAAAAAGAAGAGAGAAACCACAAACGTTTTTGGTTGTAATGTGGATTTTTTAAATAAATATTATGCTTTATTTTCCATAATTATGGAATTATGGAAAAATTATTAGGTAAAATTATGGAAAATAAAGCATAATATTTATTTAAAAATCCACATTACAAACTAAAAACGTTTGTTGGTTTCTCTCTTTTAATATACACACTTTCCTCTCGTTTGAACTACAATAACCTCTTCCCTTTATATATATATATATATATATATATATATATATATATATATATATATATATATATATATATATATATATAGCATACACAATGACCGTATTGGTTTATTGTCTGAAGTGCAGATTATAAAGTAAATCCTCCGTTCACAGGCAACTGCATATGTAATTTTATCGTGCTAATTAACGAACTTTTTAAGGGAAAAGTATATATTTTAGTGCCCCATAGTATGAAGAAGTGAGAAAGAGAAGAAAGAAAGGATCCCAAATGTAAAATCCATTTTTTAATGAATTCCTCAACGACCTTTCAGCTACCCTGCAGTGGGAGGCTGATCTACCTTATACTCACGGAACAGATTGAGGGAAAAGAGATGCAGAAGAAAACAACGCATAACATATTTAGTGAGCTTGAGTAAATGGATGGCGAAACAGGGAAATAACAGAAAGACAAAATTTAGTATGTGCTACAAGGGAAAGGAAATTGTGGAGAGCTTTCTTGAGGGGGATATAGCACATAAAGAAGAATTAAAAACGAACATATCTTCAACTTTTGGTCGGAGAAGTCACTATAGATTTTCCTACAGTTTATATGCAAGATGTGTGAACTTTTATATAATTAATTTGAAATTACGTTTTTATATTATTTTAATTCTTTTTTTTTATTTAGTTTTGTTTGACTTTATTTTATTTGACTTTATTTTTTTTTACTTTACTTTTTTTAATTCTCCCCAATTTAAATCTACCTCTGACCTTTCATCTAATAATGGCTATTGCGATTTAAACTAAGTTAAAACTTATTATAGTCAATACCATTTCCGTGTCCTTAAGTTACCTCCCTTGACGCAGGTATTTGATGACGCCCGGTCGGACTCTTGTTATCTGAATATAATTCACCTGTTTCATCGGAAGGAAGAGCTCTTAGTCTCGGTCGACAGTCATCCTACAGATGGTATCTTGAACTAAATTACCTCTTAGCGATCAAGAATAAAACGCAAAAAGAATCATCATTCTCAATGATTACAAACAAATACGCATGCTGGATTGGTCGTCATTCGGGTCAACAATGGCCGCATCCTTCAGAGACGAAACCGCCTGTGACCCAAAAATCTGTCACTGAAACAACCTCTTCCAAGAACAATGAGACATCTGGTCACCAAAACCGGATTAACTCCAACCTTTGAACCTTGTGTCCCAATGCCAAATTAATTAATAAAAAGAAAACGAAAAGAAATGAAATCGCGAAGAGTGTCAAGTTATGACATTCTTTTACATCGCACTCTAAAGTTCAGAAAAGAATATCACGAATCAGACATACCAAATATGGAGAAATACTGTAGGAACTGAAATAAGACCCTATCCTAACTCAAATATACTTACCAATGTCCGCAGGGACATC